TCGTTGAACTTTATGTAAAATCGCCTGACTGCCGATCCCTCGTCTTAACTTGACAGGGGAGGTCTCTAACTTGAAGAAAAGCAGTCTAATCATGAATGTTCAGGTTAACTGGACTGTAATGAGGCTTGCTCGTTCACTGATATATAGTTGTCACTTGTGACGTAAGTCTTGAACTGTGAATAGAGATCGACCTCTGTGTAGGTCGTTGTCCCTCGAGGTCCAATCAGAACAAGGCATTTTGATTCTGTATAATACCCGAGCTGTGATGTCACCGGTGTAGCGGGAAAAAACCCACCTTGAATAAATTCTTGTCGTCGTTGATATTAGCATAAACGTCGGTCTTCACCGTAGCTTCCCGAAGTTATCCGAGTGACCACGTGTTTCGAGGGTTAATGGTAACCGCCAGCGAAACCTCCGCCTTGAAATATCTGCAGCTCTGTAATTTTATGCTGGGTAGGTTATTTTCCTGGTTGTCGTGAAAGTAATTTCAGTTTTGAATATAATTCCGACTTCCTTATATATAAGGGTATAAACAACTTGCAAGTTGTGAGCTTGTAGACTGTATACATGAATGTATCTCGTCATAATTGTAGAATTAACGTTGAACTTGTTGTACATATTTCTTCTCAGAAACTTTGGACGATTAAGAGTTATACTTCGCTGTAACAAGGCTGCTGTTCAATTTCGATATTGAATTGTCTGCAGATATCGCGCGTAATGGTCGCATGTAGATAATCGTATCGTCCGGGATTGTATATTAGCAATTTATACGGAATAGTTGATTTCTGTGAAGATCTATGAAATGTCGTTGACTAATAATACAGCGGCGTTTCTGTGTTGTAAATAGCCTGAGCAATTATCTTCGCAGTAGGCTTATAGGCGGCATCTGGCATACAGTTGATAATCAACTTATGCGACGTCTTGAAACGGACTGACGAAAGTAGCTATATATGACGCAGTGGCTAGTATATGGAAACCTTGGAGGAGACTTCCTCGGTGAACGCCGAGACTTCGCGAAGTTCTCGAAGTATCCCTTCTAGATCTTCTGGGTGAAGTAGACTTGGAGCCACTTAGCCTTCGCGACCATCGCTGGAAGGTGTCGAGAATCAAAGCCCGATTAGTATATATATATATATAATATATATATGAGCGCTTGCCGATGAACAGCCTCTGTGTTTAACAGGATGTGGGATCGTGGCGCTTGCCTAAGAAATAGGGTCGCATGGATCATCTTATCATATTCAGAAGTCGGTATTTACGAGAAGTCTGGTGATAAGTGTCTAATTGATCGTTCTAGATCTATTTAGGCCAGCAGACATATGTCGTCATGGATTCAACAGAACCAATATACGATTGTAGTTCTTATACTTGATATCGATGATCAACTTGTCTATGGGTTGATCTTCTCGGAGACTTGTGAGGGGAACGTTGATAGTTTCCTTGAAGCTCTTGTATAGTCCCTCGATGTCCTTCTAGATGATGATGATCTGGATTCAGGTGTCCTTCAAGCATGCCTTCGCCGAAGCTTCCTCGCGTCCGGTCCGGGGAACGACGATATGACCTTCAGCGAAGGCTTCCGTGATGTCTGATGGTCCGAGTCCACATCTAGGGATGAAACCGCATAAGGTGATGATCGATCCTGCCTTCGCGAAGTCCTTCGCGAAGGCTGTACATCTAGGTCTTTCCGCCCGCGAAGGCTGTACATCTAGGTCCTTTCCGCTAGGCGAAGGCTGTACATCTAGGTCCTTCGTCAAGGTGGTCCGTGACTTCCTTCGAAGGTGACATCGCCCTGGCTGCTACGCTGACGGGGTGCCTCTGGGGTGCTGTCTACGTTGGAGCCTTCGGCTTCGGACCCTGCTACCGCAGATATTGGTCCTCCATGATGTTCATAATTTGTCGCATCATGTCTTCTGGGATGGTCTGCGACGAGGTCGCCGGTGCTTTATCTGCGGTGTTAATGGAGGGTCCACCGGAAAATCGTCCGACATCAGTGTAGAGACATCAGGCTGCATGGTGATCTCTGCTGATGTCGTTGTAGCTGTCCCCGGTCGCTTCTGTATGGCGTCACGTCGGGGATGATGATCAGCTGATCATCGTAGAGGTCCAGGTCATCGGCTGGAACAATCTCGTTGAGAAAGTCCTAGTAGACTTCGTTGATTTTCCTCAGAGGTCGACGCTGCCCTGGGTGTCGCGGCGTCTGCGTTGAGTGTTGGTAATGATGGGACCCTCAGGACGATCATCGCATATCGCGTTGGTACATCAGGCTGCATGCTGATCTGTGCCGACATCGGTCAATCTTTGATGTACATCGGTATGATGACCCGGCTGATCATCATACAGGCCCAAAACTTCGATGGGAGCGGTCCCGGTTGTTGAGATGTAGTAGAAAACCCTCTAGTCTTCTGCCGCGACGATGGGATGTCTGGGGAAGCAGGATGCTTCTTGGAGATGGCGGACTACGCCCCACACCTCTCCACCACTCTAGCCGAACACCACACGGGGGGGAGTCGGCCAACAGCAGTGAGACTGGCGAGGGTTCCGTGTATCAGTCATACTAGACTCTGCATACGCAGCGACCTATCTGCCAGCGCGTGCCAAGCGCAAAGTAAATATTAATAAAAAGGTAGAATTGGATAAATTAGTACCGCAACTGCAATGTGAATATAATAAACATGGGCCGTGCATCATATTAAAGGCGGATCAGCAGCAGCATAAAAAGCGTAATCTGCAATAGTACAGAATTTTCATCAAGCGTAATCCACTGAAACAAACACCGCGGCGTCCGTGAATAAACTGTAGAAAAGCGACTAAATATCAATATATAATCGTTGAAGGATACTAGCTAAACCTCTATAGATGTCTATACGAGGTAACTAACTAAATATAATTCAAAGGATATAGTGTATTCGGAGACACAGGAAGCTCTCGATCCAGCTCACTGGGCGAAGAAGGAGAGAGTGAGGCACATGGGTAGAGGTGGCCCTCGTTCCCGAGCTTGTGGAAAGGAGGTAACTCGTGGTGAATACTAATTAGTGATTTTAAATTGAAGGGAGCTTCAATTAGGGAGATACAAGTGTTCCACTATGTTCGCAAGAAGAAGAAGACAAGCAAAAAGAGCATGAGTCAGGATAAGGAAAAATAATTATCTATTTCAAGCAAATGTGACACTTACCTAACGTTTAAAAACAATATCCATACCGAATTCTATCTATCATGTTTAAATGTAAAAAAGTATAGAGTAAGTTTAACATGATTCCGATGCTCATCTCATGAATTTCTAATCGAGAAAGGTAGATATGTAAATATGGATAGAGAACATAGAACTTGTAAATTGTGCAATACAAATGCAATTGAAGACGAGTATAATTTTCTTCTTGTATGCCCTAACTACAGTAATCTTTGAAGCAAATATATAAGAGAAAAATATTATGTCCATCCAAACAGGCTTAAGTGTTCACTACTGCTGAACAGTCCAAATCCTAAAGAAATTGAAAACCTGTCCATGTATATTTTTTACTCATTTGTACATAGAAAGCGAATTGTTCCTTGAAAGTGTATAAAGCAATGTATATAGTGTACTATAGGCATGAGGCCTTTTCAGTACCGGAATAAAGATTGACACCACAACTGCTTGAAGTGCTGGCAAAATATCAAGTATTGTGATGGTCAGAGGTAAGATGTCATTAGTGGTTGGGGGCAGTGAGTAATTTTGAGTGATCAGCCTTTGTACATACATAAACAGGGCAAGATTAATTGTTCTCAGGGCGGAGGGGTAGCCTAGTGGTTTAAGCTTTCGCTCATCATGCAGAAAACCGGGATTTGGATCCCTACATGGGTAGAGTGTGTGAAGCCCATTTCTGGTGTCCCCTGCTGTGATATTGTTGGTGATATTGATAAAAATGGAGTATAACTAAACTTACTCAGTTATTGTTCTCAATGTTTGGAGTTGGGACAGTATCCTGAAGGTTGGCTACATGTGAGTGAGTGAGTGAGTTTAGTTTTTACGCTGCTTTTAGCAATATTCCAGCAATATCACGGCGGGGGACACCAGGAATGGGCTTAACACATTGCACCCATGTGGGGAATCGAACCCAGGTCTTCGGCGTGACAAGCCAAAGCTTTAACCACTAGGCTACCCCACCGCCCTGTTGGCTACATGTAGGAGAGTGACCTGAAGGCCTTTTAGACCTGACTTATGAGTGAGAGAGTCGAGTTTCACATTGCTTTTAACAATAATATTCTTGAAATATCCCAGCAGGGGACCCCAGATATAGGCTTTACATTGTACACATGTGAAAAATCAAACCCAGCACACTGTTTAACCACTCAGCTACCCCACCAACCCCTGGGACTTATCAACTTGTATAGATTGGATACCCTGTTGTAAACATTAAATTCCGGTTTCCAACACTTCTGGATTCCAGGACAGAGACAGGCCTGTTTCAGGATATTTGAGAGGCAAAATAATGTGAACATACTTGAATGCACTTACATTAATTCTACAGCCTATTACTTATTGCAGCTTATTTGCAGCCACCTATTTAAAACTTTTGTGGTTGTGAATCTATAACAGTGAGTTTCAAAACAAATTGTTCTCTCATTGAACTTGTGTGATCATTTACTGATGTAATAAGTTAGTTTGGTAAGGCCTGATTTCTGCTTAACCTCTGTTGAAATAAGGAGTGAGTGAGTAAGTGAGTGAGTGTGTGAGTGAGTATGGTTTACGCCGCTTTAGCAAGATTCCAGCATTATCAAGGCAGGGGACACCAGAAATGGGCTTCACACATTGTACCCATGTGGGAAATCGAACTTGGGTCTTTGGCGTGATGAGCGAACGCTTTAACCACTAGCCTACCCCACCACCCTTAAATAAGGAAATCGGCTTATTACAATTTCTCTACAACAGTGAGGAAGATCAGTAATTTCTCAAGAACATATGAAAAATTGCTGATGTGGTACAAAGCAGCCTTATCTGCTTCACTTCAAGTTTTACAACTCACCTGTAACAATGACAGTGTGACTAGCTCCACATCCAACATATTTCACTTGACATTTGGGGTTATCTCCCTTGAATGTGGACACTGGACTTTGGTCAAAGCCGACATCATTTTGCTTTCCATGGCAATGTTGACCAAACTCGCCACAGCCCCAACACAACAGGTGAGGAATACGCCTCTCTTCTTCCTCCATGTTCTGAGGGGACAAAAACATTGCTATGAATTGAAAGGAAATACTTGAAGCTGTTACAATATAGCACAAACTCATCAAACAAACAAGCAAAATGAAATACACAATATAAATTTTGACATATTCATAAATGCCATTTCACAACACTGACAACACTATTATCTACAGCTTAGATTGTACAAACTGGGATTTTCATATGAATTATTTTTCGGATAATGTGTTGATGTATTTAAAATTCGTGAACATTGGTTTTCATCTATATTTGATATAAGAAAAATAAAAAATTGCAGTTTCCTTGAATTAAAGAATTCTGATACATACTACATAATCTATTAAATATTGTCATATGGAATTCGACCATCATCGAATCATATAATGAAGTAAGTTTGCTTCTAAGGTGCCTTTTCCCAAACCTATCCGATCATTGGCCACCAGAAATACAGCATTTATGGCAATACAGCCATAGTATTCACAAATATCATTGACTTCATACATTGTACCCATGTTGGGAACTAAACCTGGACTTTCACCACGACATGTGAATGATTTACTCACCATCCGGATTTATAACAATGGGAGGCATTGTCTCTGTGTGGACACAGACTTCCACAAGCTTTGTACAGCAATATTTCACTCCCAACACAGATGTCAAGTGTGCAAAGGTCAGGTCACACTGAAGCAGCACAGCATGACAGAAGCAAATAAAACTGCTTCAGTTAATAAATGATATGTAACCAACATTGAAGTGAATTTTGCTGCCTGCGCTTTAGTGTTCAGGGGATTCCCCTCGTATTGATGAGTGGGCGAGTTTGGTTTTACGCCACTTTGAGCAATATTCCAGCAATATCACGGCGGTGACACAAGAAATGGGTTTCACACATTGTACCATGAGGTGAATCGAACACGGGCCTTCGGAGTGACGAGCGAGTGCCTTAACCACAAGGCTACCCCACCGCCCCCATTTCATTTGAGTAAATTACCATCAAACACTATTGCCTTGAATGTGTTACCCCACCGCCCTAGCATTCATGATAGAAACAGACTTTTTAAAGAGATCAAGGTTCAGTTTTATTTGCTGAACTGTACCAACAACAATGCCTATTGTTAACACTGACCAGGAAATATTAATGTTTGAGGTTAGTTAGTATCCATGTTTATATCAGGTGGAATCAGCAACCTCAACAACGATGCGTATGTAAGCAGCAATAATATGTTCGAATCCTGTACTGGGATTGAAACCACAGACCTGATCTGAGGTAAGTCACCTTGTCTGCATGACCAAAGAAGTTAATCCTTACAGATCTAGAAATCTGACATGTAAGGATATCCTCTGTGGGATAAATCTGCTACACCTATAGAAGGTGCACGTGGTAAGTATTTGAAACAAATGAATTGAAAGTTCAACTGAACATATACATTATATATATACACTTTAGTTACACTGCTCCAGTGCGGGTTAAACATACATTGCTTTGATGTATTGTGCTGTCTGCGTCATTGTGGCCACACTTTTACAGTTGAGTCAGGTTTTGCAGACGAGCCCTACTCACACTTGGTAATTGTTCTTTTCGATATATGACCTGACTTCTTGATCTGTTCTCCTAACCTATTGTACACCTATGAGCCCTTTCTATCATTTATAAATTGAAAGGTAAAACATGTCAAGTTTAAGTTTTGTTTTTCATATCCATTAAAATTTGAACAACATACACAACATGTTGAAACTGAAGCAGAAATATTATTTAGAAGATAAAAACAAGATGAGGTATGGGTTTTGGTGAATATTTCATGACGTGGACTGTGATTCAGAAATGTCCAATCTGTAAATTTTTCTCATCAAATACTCAAATAGACAATTTATGTTTTTGTAAAAAAAATTAAAATACAACAGTTAACAGTAAATTTCTTTAGTGTAATCTTTCTATGTAATCTGCCTGTGGGTGAGTGAGAGTGAATTTGGTTTAACACAGCTGTAAACAGTATTTCGGTTTTATCACTGCAGCAGCCAGCAGGTCTCTGGCTTTTAATTTCAGGCTGATATCCCATCACCATGGTTTGGCGCTGACAAACCGAGACACAATTAGAACATACTGAGATTGAAACCTATGCCCACGTTTCAAACAGATCAAGGGACACAACTCTGCACAGTAAATAGTTTCACCTCAAATGTCTGGGCCACCAATGGCCCCAGATCTGCCAAAGATACAAAAACAGACTTGATTTTATAGCATGACCCTCTGATACCGTTGTTGAAAATGCATATCTCCATTACAACTTAATTGCCTGGTAAGCAGTTTCAAGAAAATTATTCATATGCAGTGGAATTTCCTGAAGATTTCCAGGATCTAATCCCAGTTGACAATAATTTTCAATAAAGATGACTACATCATACACGACCAATTATTTTACAAAGCAGAATGTTTGGTGTATTTCACAAACATTTCACAGCCCTAATAAAGCAGGAAAAGCTGTTTTTATCATTGCTAATATTAATTCTCATGATTGTCAAGAATTGAAAGTTATCTTTCATTGTCCAAAATGGTGTCCAGGTTGCAAACTGGTTTCGATTGCCTGGTCATTTTAAACATGAAAGGTTCAGGTGAGATAACATTTCATTTCATGAGCACCTGAACCCTCTTTAGTCAGCTCTTAATTTCCACAAACACTGTATGCTAACAATGTGTGTAATTGTCCAATGTAGCCAGTGCAGCATACATACCTATGTCTTTATGTTTATTTATTTACTGATCGACACTGTATGCACATGATATATACTGAACTGAATGTGGTACAAAAATGACCTCTTTCATTTAAGTGTACATGTATTCATATTAAGGCATTGTGCTCTTATGAAGTATAGGCTTAGGTGATGTGTGACACACTTTGAGCAGCATAGTAGCAGATACAAGGGAGTAAAAAGATACAGAACACCCAAAGGAGTGGGTGAGTAGTGAGTGAGTAAGTTAGTTTAGTTTTGCTTCGCACTCAGCAATATTCCAGCTATATGGTGTCAGTCTGTTAATAATCGAGTCTGGACCAGACAATCCAGTGATCAACAGTATGGCCATAAATCTATGCAAATGGGATACGATGACATGTGTCCAAGTCAGGGAGCCTGACCACCCGATCTTAGTCGATTCTTACGACAAGCATTGGTTACTGAAGATCAATTCTATCCCGGATCTTCACTCGTAGAACAACCAAAGGACACCACCAATGTCCATTGTGAATGATAATGTGTGAGTAAACACCCAAATACTCTGAAGAAAGCATCAAGCTCAATAATTTGAGCACTTTTACACATAGGAGGTCATGTCAGTTGAACTGATCATCTACCCATGACTATTAAATTCTCAGTGTTAGTGAGCAAAACATTCATAGAAACATATCTGATTATTGTACCTTTAAAACAGTAAGTGAGTTTAGTTTTATGCCACTTTTAGCAATATTCTTGCAATATCATGGTGGGGGAACACCAGAAATGGGCTTCACACATTGTACCCATGTGGGGAATTGAACTTGTGTCTTAGTGATGAGCGAACATTTTAACCACTAGACTACCTCACTACCCACAAAAATGGACAACCAGATCCAAATGGCATCTACACCCAAAAGAGAGACTACAACCAAGGACATATATGGGTAGTATGTTTCATTTCTTTTTGCAGGAAAAATCAAATTTTCCAAATAATGGTGACCAGTGAAGAAATGGAGCCAGTTGTTTCAGAAAGATGACTTATGATTTGCAGAAAACTCACAAATTTTTAAATACTGAGGGCTTACCTGAACAACCTCCTAAAAATGTCTGATCTACATACACAAGAGTAAAATATTTTAAAAAATTAAAGAAAAGTATCAGGCTGTTTATCGACAAATCCAGAGAAATTGTTTGAAAAAATGGGAGCAGCATATTTCTGCTTAATTACCACAAGTAACTTAAACGATATATTGCCAACCCACCTCCTCCTCCTCCTCCTCCCATACTGTATCCAGAGATGGAACATATCCAAGGGTTGGGAGGAACGCCACACAGTGTTCCATGCTGGTATCACCTGTCTACTTACAGCCCCGACATCACCATGTACATGGCATCCCCACCAACACTGACATCAGTAGTGAAAAACATCTCCAGGTAATCCAAGGAAATGAAGGCAGTCTTTCTTTCCCCATTCCATTCTTGGTATACATACACTGAATATGAAAGTAACTCCTTTGGTGGTGAACAGCGGGTATTTTATCACACATAAATACTGCCTAACACAGACACTGCTCATGTCTGGTTACCAAGGTAATCGCTGACTCTTGATGCTGGAACTGCCTTATCAACTGTTCTTGATTGAATTTCTTTCACAGTGGTTATAAATAATGGCTTTGTTTTCTTGCAGTAAAAGAAAGGTAAGCTTCCCTTTCATCAGACCGACAGACCCACAGTCACTCTTAAATTCACAATTTGTCGTAATATAATGTGAAATGTGTCATTTTAATATCCTTTTCACGGTTCAACTTGTCCATGTAGAATACATAAATTCAAAAATGATTGTCACAGAAGCATATATCATGTAAAAGAAATATATTTCTGCATGGTATGCCCCACATGTTCACGATGCTCAGAGTATATGATGATATACACATGGTATATCTTGATATCCAAGAATCACAACATCTTTTGGCATCGGCTGCAGCTAGTTACACAGAACATTTGTCATCCATAGAATATAACACTGAAAACACAAACGACTCTCCAGCCGTATATATCCAGCATGCTATACCACTATTTCCAGTTTTGGTCCACAAAATCCCCAATAATCAGATCCACATGTGTATCCATGGATAACAAACTTGGGCAATATCAGGTAGAGCTTTTGTACATATTCTGGCCCACTGACACCTAACCTACTGACACCCGCTAGACGCCTATCACAGAAATTGGCGGTAAAGATCAGCCAAGTATTGTATTGGATCAAACAGCCTGTCAGAAAACAAGCTGGCATGTCTGGGGAAAGTTA